TTACTTTTATTTTAAATATAGTTTGTATTCATACAAACGACTAAATTGGTAAACAAAATAACAATCCTTTAAAACTTTATATTAGCACCATTTTAAAAAGAATCTCAACCTTATTCGGATTTTTTAATTACTATGCACTTACGCGTTCTACTTTCGCATATTAATTAATAAATTATATCATGATATAGCATAAAAGACAATGAAGGAAACTTTTACATGGGGGATGTGGTTGGGTTTCATCACAATATCAACAAAAAATAAACTTTTTTTTAGAACTTATATTTTTTTTAAATATTTGTTCAATAACTCAAACACATTATATAATAATATGTACATAATTTTTTAAAAATATATATTTATTGACATAGGTACACGCGGAAAACACGTACCCTAAAACTAGTCTGCATAATAATTTAGAAAACGCTTATAACCACTTTAATTTCAACCATGATATAAATGGTGGAGAAAAAAGAAAAACTAAAAAGGTCAACCTAGATTTTATTCTTTAAAAGTTTATTGCGAAGGCATTAATTCAAAACCGAACAACTTTCTTCAATTAAAAGTACAAACACTAATACAAGAGGTACTCAAATTGGCAGCTTATCAAATGTATAGATGATTGTACAAACAAAGCTAGTGTCTATAAACTTTCCAGTACAGATTCCGTTTTTTACATTCCCCCATTGTAGCAAGAAAACTATACCGTATAACGATTCTTGGCACCTTTGTCGAGCCTCTTTGCGTCGTCCTGCAAAAGAAGATGATTATGAGTCTTGCAAATTATGAAAAAACGATTTCAAGGCATACCATAAATAAGATGTCATACATGAAATATGAAGCCAATCGAGTCGCTATAATCTAGAAACTCCTTCCATTGCTTACCAATGCTAACCTGCAAATAGAAGTTTCAAGAGAACAAGCTTGATATCAAGTATTAACATAAAAATTAACAAACTGGTAATAGCTGAAAGGATTCAATATTGTCAATGATGCACAAAAGGGGATCCACTTGCGAAATTAGACTAAAACGGCCTGGTATTTCAAATGGATGAGGCCATCAAAAAAGGGGGAATCGGGAACGTCGACCATTATATATTCTAGCAGAAGGGAGTACGTGCACTGGAGAAAAAGAAACTAAGGGAAAGGGTGACAGAAAAAGGTATTTTATCACGCATAAAATAATACTTAACCCTTGGGACCACCAAGGGATTCCCTCTGCCCTTAACCAGGTCTCAGGTTCGAGCCCTATGAATGGAGAAATATATGATAGGGAGTGTTTACCTTCTAGAAGGCCCTACGCGGCAGGAATTCCAATTAGTCGGGTCAGTGAGTACCGGATACCAAATTGTACACCAAAAAAAATACTTAACCTTTGGGATAAAAGAATTGCAAAGACTTTTTGAACCGGCTGCAGATCTTGGAATGATGCCAGAATCTCCTAACACTAGATACTTGGTAACGACATATCAAGCAGGAATGCAACAGACTATTTGACAGCAATATCACGGCTTCACAGAAATAACATCCTACACCTGGACCAGTCCGCAACATTATCTTTTCCTCTGTAAGTTCTCTTTATCCAAGCTTCACACAACTCAATTGCCAAAGAAGCAATAATTTATCGCAGACAAATTAGCACTTTGCTTCATACATAGGCATATTTCCTTTTGGCTTCCAGCTATATATATTTTTCATATAGTAATTCACTATCAAAGGCTAAAAAGTTTGACAAATAAACCGGGTGCTGAAGTTTGAGGTATCCTCTATTATCTAGAATGTAAACAAAAGTACAAAACCGTGCTATACATCTGATGACTTCCCCTCTAACTTCCCCAATGATACATGTATGACATAGGGTACTATACATCAGTTTCTCGTTGTCAAAAGAAGTTATGTCAGGAATGAAACTCTATATATATATATATATATA